GCGGGGAATTAACACAGTTATAAAGCCCTAACAATATATAATGGGTGTTTTGTTTGGGTAAATATTGTTGAATCAGGCTCTCGTTCAGTAAATACAGGATAAAGACAGCTCTCTGTAACATTTTTAACTCTGCTATTTCAGCCAGGCACAACAAAATCTGAATTACTTCTGAATCGAGTGGTTTTCGCTTTATAAAACTGTACAAACCTGTCCTTGATGATGGTCACTCATACCCATTTTTCCAGTTTTATGACATTTTGTAAGCTGGCATTTATTTTGGATATTTTCCCACCAGTTCCTTACCATAAACAGTTTTTCTGCCTTTCTCCTCTTTCAATATTTTTGCTTCCTTTGCCCTTTAAAACCAGACTTTCACATGCAGAAGTTCCCAGCTTGCCATTGACCAAAGTTTTACTCATAGTTTTTACACAAAACCTGTGAAAAGTAAAAAAATCAACAGTTTCTCATGCAAAGAACAATGTTTTGACCCAGCTATTTTTTATCGTTGCCCTGCTGAGTTTCCTGATTCCTGTATGTCAGATCTGAAGCTGAAACATATGTGTTTCCATTATGCCTGTTGAATGGGTGATCTTTCCAAGCAAGTACATATCTAGGATACATGTAAACATGACTGTAATTATGAAGATCTGTAGTGATACACTGGCATTTGGTTTTCTCTAAATCTGTTCAGAATCCTAGTGACATGAATCTTGGTTATTTTCAGAATGGTTTACAGTTGTATCATTCAGAAGGAATCTTCTATGCAAAAGGACTCCTTGGATACATACACTGTAATGTTGTCTAAAATACAGTGATGTGAGATCTGTGGTACAGATGGTCCAAGGCACAAACAGCAGGTGCTTAACACACTTTGGGTACATCTACACAGCAGCGTTATTTCGGAATAAATGATGTTATTCTGAAATAACATAGTTCATGTCTATACTACAAGCCTTTATTTCAAAATAATGTTGAGCTGGAGGACTTCTTACTCTGACTCATGGAAACCATCATTTCACAAGAAGTAAGGTAAGTCAAAGGAAGAGTTATTTTCCTTTGACTTCCTGCTGTGTAGGCAGCGCCAAAAGCCGAATTAAGCTATTTCGACTTAAGCTACAAAATTGATGTAGCTGAAGTTGCGTAGCTTAATTGACTGTAGCCCTGCTGTGTAGATGTACCCTTTGACATCCAGTGGGAGTTCAACACATAACTACAATTTGTGCCTTTGAAAAACATGCTACTTGTAATTAGGAAATTTTTGGCCTTCTGGCAGGATGTTCTGGATAGCCTGAGGGATGTGTGGTAAAGACTTTTGCACTTACTGTGTAAAATTGTTTATCACAAAAATTACATGATGGGCTCACACGTCAGAGTAATAGGTAGAGTATTAGTTGTATGCAGTCAGGCTGAAATTCAGTTTCATGTAAGCCTACTGTCAAAGGGAAGCTTAGTACAGGCCTGAAGGGAAAGCAGAATCCTGGGCAGAGATCTGTATTTATATAGGTCCAACTGCCATGCTGTACAGGAGTTGTGTCTCCTGCAAAAGCGACCATGGAAGGGCTAGAAAGATCCCCCACTTCCATGTCAGTGTTTTGCGGTAATGAATGTAGATCCTCAATCCACCCTCGACTCAGGTTTTGTTTGTGGGTTCAAGAAAGAGATTAAATTTACCCTCCATCTGTTAGATGTTTAGAGGTACCATACTTAATCTCTTGTCTTGGAGCCAACTCCCAAATGGGCTTGCGGTAGGACAAATGGAACCAGAAAAAAGGAGTGTTTCACCTGGTCCAAATTTGTAACAATTATATATTGACACATATTCAAGTATGGTCAAGTTGCTCAGATGGCTGGCAGAGGGATTTCTGTGAAGCACTCTCTCAGAAGTAATAACAGATGTCTGCTAACATAGTGCGAAGACCAAGAGAAATACAGGTGTTCAAATAAAACAGAGGTTAAAGCTGGAGGCCAGGAGGCAAAGAAATTTGAGAATTCTCTTGTGGGTCAGCTATAGGATGATGTACTATCTAGGTACATATGAATCTGTATATGCTCTGTGTATAAATTATATTGGGTTTGTATATGTCTGTGTATGAATAAATATATTTCATCTCCACATGTGTATCTATAGTATACTGATATATGCAGAGATAATCTACTAAAGTATTGTTCAGCTATTCATATGCAGTTATTGTGGTGATGGAGGCATATGGTTGCTAAATTTAAAAAAAAAAACACCTAAGGGTTTTTCTGCATGGTGGGGGCAATGTATATGGCGGTGGTATAGTTCTCAAGGGCATCAATATGTAGCTCATTAATTGGTCTATGACGATCCTTCTGGTGCTCACTAAAGTTTTCCTTGTATGCATTAATGTGTATTGTTCAGGAACCTGCAGTACTTTTCATATGAATTAAAGAAGGCTCATGTGAAGCCACACCTACAACTTCGTTTTTCTTCATTAATATTGCTTCTGCTTTAACTTTTAAAAAATACAGTCATATCTTTGAAATGTAGTTTGAAATCAGAATCGGCATCTAGAAATGAGCAGAGAAGCAAAGGCGAGGAGTTGTGAGGGAGGAAAAGCTGAAATACAGTCTATAAACATGGAACATTTGTTCTAATATAGCTTTATTCTATTTTTAAATATATTAAAATATATTTGTCATTTTTATAAAAATCCATTTTGTAAACATATATATATATTGAATCAAATTCAGAGGTGATGTGTGAAAATGATATATGGTACATGTGGAGAATTAAGTCCAAAGAGATCAAGTGAATCCACTTTGAACTTTGGCAGGTATAATATATTACAGTGGAAACAGGAGGATTTGTTGTGTTTCCTACCACACTCCTTCCTTATAGTGCTACTCATTCATACTGCTTTATACTAGGGATGTTAAATATCAGTTAACTGAATAGTCGATTTAACTTCATGAATTCTTATCGGTTACTCAACTATTCTATAGTCTCCAGGGGTGGGGCTGGCAACCAGTGCACTTTGGCCCCACTCTCGTGGAGCCCCCTGCCACTCCGCACTGTTGCATGTGTATCAGAGGCAGCAGCGTGGGGTGTCAGGCGGGAGCTTATCCATGAGGGGAGCCTAATAAAAACCAGCCTCCCTCGTGAACCAGCTGCCTGTCAGCCCACGGTGCTGCCTCTGATACAGAGGCAGCAGCACCGGGTGGCAGCAGCCTCTGTTGGGGAGGGGAGGGGCACTCTGAGTTCCTGGACCTGGCGAGCCAGAACAGAGCTGGGGTGCTTGCCCACCTGCTCCTAATGCATTTTAAATGCAGAGCCACAGCTGGGCTAGGTCCCAGACCTGGCACAAGATGGGACTGAGCCGGGCTGCTTGCTAGCCTGCTAAAAAATTACTAGAGCGGGGAGGGAGCATGTAGTCTGTAGCATTGACTGATAAGCTTTTGCTTATCGGTTAATTGACTGCCACACTATTACATCACTACTTTATACACTGCCTCTGAATTAGGTTCAGTAACATTTTGTGCCATTTCACAGCTTTGAGTCCATGATATATTTAAGTATTTTCATTAACAGGCAGCCTTTCAGGTCTTCTATTGCTTATAGTTCACACAAAATATATCAGAGTTAGAGGACTATCTGTGTTAGAAGAACTTTTTGAATTTAGGGTTCATGTGCTAGTTCCCTCAAACACCAGTTCAGTGTTTTGTTTTCCTGCTACATTCCATTTGATGCTCAGAGGTCAGATCAGGATTTAGAAAGTTTTAGTTTGTTGTTGCCTTCACACACAAGCTACGTTTACACTTCAATGGTATTTTGGGATATCGAAGTATCCCGAAAAGCTATCCAGTGTCTTCACAGCAAGCCCATTATTTCAAAATATAACAGGCTTGCCATTCCACAAGGATTAAGGGATGTTTCAGAATAGTGGGGTGCTGTGTAGCTTATTACAAAATAAGCTATTTTGTAATAAGATCGAAATAAGATACGCAATTTGCGTAGCTAAAAGTGTGTATCTTATTTTGAGCTATGGTGCAATGTAGATGCAGCCAGAAAAGAACATAAGGGAACCAATGGAGGCAGGTCAGCAGAGAAGGGAATATGGTGAGAGGCCCTAGAAAGGGAGGGGAACATAGGAAGAACAGGAGCTTCAGGGGGTAGCCGAGTCAGACTGTTACTGGAAAAAAACAACAATTAGTCTGGTAGCATTTTATAGACTGGTCATCTGAAGAAGTGGGCTGTGCCCATGAAAACTCATGATGCCATCTACATGTTTTCTTAGTCTATTAAGTGCTACCAGACCATAGGAAGAACAGTGAGGAATGGAAGCTAGGAATCCAGAATAAGTTAAGTAGGGGAAGCAGAAATGGGAAAATACCTGACTAGTGAAGAGACTTTAGATTATGTCTCCAATTAACTCTTCAAGATGTTTCTCCCTGCAAGTTAAGTTACAATATGTGATATATATACAGAATGTTCTAAAATAGAAATGAAATTGTATTTGATTTTGTTATAAAAGGTATTCCATATGTCATCTTGATTTGTTTCTTCCCTAAAAACTCTTCTAACCTCTGACTTTGGCATTAAAAGTGGAACTATTTTCTTAGCACACTCTAGTCCACCAATTAGGAGGGAAATTACACCTTTTAATTGCAAAAGATCAATCTTTTCTCTCTTACTAGCAAAGATAAACATAGTCCACTCTTGATAGATTGGTCTGTAGTTTTCTTAGATTAAAAGGATTCCGTGCTTACTGCTTCTGCAGAGCTACATTGATATAGATGTCCTCCCCTGAATAGGAGCGTCAAATTAGAGCTACATTCAGTTGGAAGGTCAAGGAGTAACACACAGAAGAAAAGGCAGGTAAAGGAATTGCAGGGAGAAAACCTTTCCCTCTCCCCCTGTCCCAAAGGCCCACATTTTTCAAAGGTCTGCTTGGGCCAGAGTAGATAGCTGTTTAGTGGGCTGTGTGAAAGCAGTTAGTGGTCATATTCCAGTTCCTAACTGGCCTGCTTGTTCACAGATTCAACAGAAAAGCCACAGACTGAACAAGCGTGAAACTGAATGGCGAGACTGGTGCTTCCAGGTCAGCATTGAAGCATGTTGACAAGGCAGTGTGAGGAAGCATGCAGTGCTCCTCCCATGTTCAGTGTCTAGATGCATTCAGACTCCATGCAAGAAAGGTTCATCTAGCAGCTTTTGTGAGCACAATATTCACCACAAAAAAAAAGTTTTTAAAATGCAGAGATGTCACTCTACCCTATTTCTAGTGTGTAAGAAAAGGTTGTAGAACGATGTAATGGAATGGGTGGAGGAGATAGCTGCTTCAATTGCCTATTTCAAACTGTAAAGTACCTTGAATATTACCTACTTCTCACATCTACAGTAATTTAAGAAACCATCACACTGTTTACCACACCACCTTTAAAAAAAAAAGCAACAGAGCAACATTAATGTACTGTAAAATGAACATAATTAAAAAAATTAGTATTAATCACCCACATAGTAATATATTATAGTTTCTGAGGGATAAGGAAAAGTATAGTAAAGATAAATACCACAGTGCAGTCCAGCTCAATTTTAAAACAAATCACTCTTTGAGTTTCTGCTTATTTTAAAAAAATGTAACTGTATATGTTTTCCGCAATACGTGTTTGTCAGTATACACATTACATTGTTTGAATGTGAGAAATCTTTGAAATGTATAAAACTAAATTAGCAGTAAACTCCCTTCTGTGTTGTTTTTTTTCTTTCTGCCATTTATCTTCTATTGTACTGCCATATAGTTAGGGTTGACAACTGTCTAATCACAGAAACCTAAACCCTTTGCGACTGCCGATTCCCTACAGCCATAATCCTTTCCAAACCCTTCTCTGAGAAGACACCTCCTGCTCACTTTTCCTCGGACAGAAGCCCGCTGGGGACAATTTTCCCCTGCTGCTTAACAATTTTGGTCTCCCTCTTTTTTTCCTCAACAGATTTTTTTTCCTCAACAGATTTTTTTCCTGGTGGTTGTTGTTTTGTTTTTTGGGGTTTTTTTTCGGCCGGGGGGTTGGTATTTTTTGTTAAACCATCTGGCAACCCTATTTGCTGTCCCCTGCCCTCACTCCCTTTCACCGAGATGGAGCAAAGACTTGAGTTGTGGGATCTGGGCTGAGAATGTGGGGTGGGGGGGTGAGGAGTGCAGGCTCTGGCCAGGTCACATATTTCAGGCAGCTCCCACTTGACTGCACAGCAGGACTTAGGCAGACTCCCTGCCTGGTGTGGCCCAGCACTGCTCCCGGAAATTGATGGCACGTCTGTGCAGCCCAAAGGGAGCAGTGGAATCAGTGTTCAGGGTGGGAGGAAAGCATGGAGACCCACTGCACTTCCCCTGCCTAGCATCATGGAGCCCAGGTGGCCTGAAACCTGCCTCTAGTTCTGCTGTGCTGCCAGACTTTTGGCACCTAAAATCTCCCATGCCCACTCCTAGGGTTGCCAGGTGTCTGGTATTGACCCGGACAGTCTGGTATTTTCGCCCCCCTGTCCGGTAAAAAAAAAAATGAAAAAATACCGGACACCTAAAATGACCGGTATTTTCTGATTTCTTTTCCCCTGCCAGGAGGAGAAAATACCAGACACCTGGCAACCCTACAACACACTCAGCAACCAGCCTCAGCCCCGACCCGCTCCCAGCCAGACCCACACCCCCACCTGCTTACCTGGTTCTGCAGGGGCTTGTCTTGTGGCTGGGAGAAAAAAAAAAAGGCCTCTAGGAAAAAAAAAAAAAACATTAAGCCACACACACACACACACAAAAACTGCTGTCGGGGTCCTTTTTTTTCCTCAACAGCTTTGGTCTCCCCCTTTTTTTTCCCCCCTCAACAGAATTTTTTTCCCGGTGTTCTGTTGAGGAGAAGGTATTCGGTATTTTTGGTTAAATCATCTGGCAACCCTACCCACTCCCCCTCCCTGCAGGAGCCACAGCCCCCACTTTCCAGCACTACTGGGCTGCCTGCATGACCCCCTGGCTCTGGCCCTGCCTCCCCCAGGTCCTGGGCTGGGTCAGGGAGCATTGGAAGGAAGCCTCTGCCTCCCTCCCTTGCCCCCAGGCCAGATGTGGACAACACCGGGTAAGTCTTCTAGCAGGAGATATATTGTAGCATATCATCTGTTATTCCTCCTCCTTCAGATCTGTCTTGAACCTGAAGACAGTTGTTTTAAATCTGACATCAAGGACTTCTTTAGAATTCCTTGTCATCTCTTTATTATCACTCTCTTTAAGCATCAGTGAGATTCATTAAACTGTACTAAATGAAATGGCTGTTGGCTATTACTGACAGGCCTTTGGTTTAGATTTGTTTGTGCTCTTTTGTTTGGAGTCTTATTCTTTCCTTTTGAAAGAAAGAAGTCTTCAAACAAATATTACTGTGTTCTCATTCTGTGACTGGCACTTTGCTTACTGTAAGTTGAATGAAACTACATCAGTAGCATCTGGATGTTCAACACATTTCTGTTTTGCATGATTCTGCTAGGATCTGAGTGCCCTGATTTGATGGTTGTAGGAGCTAGAAGCCAAAGGTTCCATACCTTGATGAGTCTTTCAGCTGGGAAAGAGGGGGGAGAAAAAATAACATTCCTAAGACTTTCTGCATGCTTTCACATAAAGACCCTCCAAGACAGTCTGAAAATGTGGGTAAAAATGTTGGAAAAAAATCTTCATACTTTTACAACATATGTGTGCATTCATCTTATTTAAAAGATACATATATACAGGAAATCTATTGTAAGACTTTGAATCTTCTTGTAGAAATGCCCAAAGCCTGATTCTGCCAATCTTACTCAGATAGAGTACAGGCAGTCCTCGGGTTACGTACAAGATAGGGACTGTAGGTTTGTTCTTAAGTTGAATTTGTATGTAAGTCAGAACTGGTACATATTGTAGGGGAAACTCTAGCCAAACATTTCTCCAGAGCTCAGTTTTATTCTCCCACACCTCACTTCCCTCAGTCCTTTATTCTCAAGCTGAGGTGTCTGCTGAGAAAAGCCGCTCCACCTCTCCCTGGTCTGCTGGGGTGGGGGGGCGCTAGCTTCGCATCTCCCTGGTCTGCTGGGGGGAAGCAGCTAGTGCGGGGTTGCCTCACCCCGTTTGTAACTAGGGATCCAATGTAAGTCACATTAGATAGCCTTGTCCAAATCAACAGGACAACTTTCAGAATAAGGTACTCCGCATAAAACTGGCCGACTCCAGCTCTTAGCATTCTGTGTATTATGTTGAGCAAAATCATTTGATTTCTCTTGTAATGTTTGTGAGGTGCAGAATGAACAAAGTTTGGGGTTTTTTTTTCTAACATTACTTGCACTTGTAGTTTATTGGTGTATTTCTCTTTTCTTTCACTGTGACCTGTGAATGTCAGAGTAGGCTGTCTGCCAATTTTGTGATCTGCTGCCTGCTTCAAAATGGAGGCAGGAAGGTATCCATTTTCATCAAGAAGAAGATGACAGTGCTTCAGTCTTCCTGATCATCTGGAGACAGGAAATTTTTAATCAGAAACAAAAAATTGAGTGTGTGTGTGTGTGTGTGTATATATATATAGATATCTATCTATCTATCTATATCTATATCTATATATATATATATATCTATATATATATATATATATCTATATATATATATTCATAGAGTTAAAATACTACTCAACGAAGTCCAGACTTTTTTTCTTTTATGTTGTTCTAGTTAACATAACAAGAAAATACAAGAACTATTTTTGTAAAAAGCTAGTTACAGAACTCTCTGGTGTATTAGTAAACAAATGTAAGAAAATTAGTTTTTTGGCACACACAAATATAATAAGTACTAAAAAAAGAAGGTTTCCTCCCCTGATGTACAAACATACTGTGTTGGTGGTCTTGTGTAGATCCAGGTTTTTAATAGTGCTTTCAAGTTGCTCTGCATAGACCTAGTACCATGGGAATTAAATATCCCAAGATATGTTTATAATTCTCAGTGCCCTTGATAGTGCTGTTTTCTAAATTTTATTTTTGCGTTTAGGGAACAAAGAGTTTGACTTCTCCATATTGCTTTCATTTTTGTCCTTAAATGTGTGAAAGCTGTGGACTTTCATATAATAAATCAGCATTGTTTCATGTTCTCAATTCTTTTGAGCTCTGTAAGATCCCAGGTCCAACATATGTTTGTTGGACAGTATATTTACAGCTAAAAATGGTTTGACAAACACCTCACAAATATTCTTGTCTAAGGCTGGAAAATGTTATACCTAAGTTTCTTCTGAAGCTTAACATTTATTTTCTTTTCCCACAAATACTAATATTTTTTTATTAAAAAAAAGTACTGTGTAATGTTAGGAACTGATTTAAACTTAAAAAAGTAAAACTTCAGCATTTCATTTTAGATTTTTAAATATTTCAGTCATTGCAGAAAGCATACTAAATTAATCCTTTTTCCTTAGGTTTATGCCCCGTCAGCAAGCACTGCTGACTACAATAGGGATTCACCAGGTTATCCATCCTCAAAACCAGCAGCCAGCACTTTTCCTAGCTCCTTTTTCATGCAAGGTAAGATGCTACTTTCAAAAAGAAATCTATTGTACTTACATTTCATGTATATATTTATTGGCATATGTGTATTAGCGACATCATGGAATATATTCCTGTGAGCTGTTATGTTACCATTAAAATTTTAATGTAATGAAATAGAATAATGAAATAACTTGATTCTTATCACTTAAATTAATTTAAGCATTCTTTTTCAAGAATTTGTGTACATGCACACACGTTATACGTATATTGAATGCTCAAAATATGTGTGTGTCCTTTCTGTATAAATCAGAGTTTGTGTCTGGATAGAATTTATACAGTGTAGAATGTTTACAGTACACAGCATAAAATGTATGTATATAAAACAGACTCTGTATTATAGCAATTTCTAAATCTGATTTTTAATTAACTACATAGTGTCTCTCATTTTAAAATGTTAATTTTTTCATGTTCACTGTTGTATACTGTATTCTTGCAGTTACTCAGAACTCATTGAAATAAAGTTTAGGTAACTTATTAAAGTCCTAGAGTCAGTCAATAAAACAATCTGTTTAAAATGCAGGATCCACATTTTGCCTTACGTAGGCAAAGTTCAGAGAGCCACATTCAGGTCACGATCCTGTAAACGCATGGTGTCCAACGAATTCTGAAACAGTAGCCCCTCTACAGGCTACTGCTTCAGAGAACTAGCCACACTCAAGTGACCAAATCGCCACATTGTTCAGTCAACTAGCCACACTCAACCATCCAACTAGCCACATGTGGTTAGTGGCTAGTGCGTTGGATACCACGGCTATAAACAAATATGCATCTGCATAATTTGATACACATCTTGGTATCTATTCAGATATCTTCTGCTAAGCATGTGCAGAAGTATTTGCTGAAATGGAACTTCAATTTGCTGGAGTCCTGACTCTGAATCCAAACCAAATCTGATTCCATCTCTCATCACTTTTAATGCAACACATGAAGAGTACATGTCTATATTTCTGTTGAGTTACTAGACTAAGCCACTTTGATCAAAATGGAGTATTTCATGCTGAGACCTACCGTTGGTTCATATTACAGTTCATATAAAGAACTGAAATGAGGATGTTCGTGTCTAGGATTTTGGCTTGGTTTTATCACCATCAGTGCTGTGGAACAAGTTATATAGCAGGGATGATGAGAGCCACTGAGCCAAACTGTAAACCCTGTATGTGATGGAAACCAGTTCAAGCCAGGAGTACAGTAGCAACCCAGTAGCCCTCAATCCAGCACCTGTACCTATCACTGTTTTACATTTAGTTTGGGGTGAGAAAGAGAGGTAGAAGCCTTGCAGAGTAGCTGCACACCAAGCACAACAGGAAATTGGAATAGGTGTGTAGGCCCTTGACAAGCTGAACTATTGCTTTAAGAATAGGAAAAAAGCATTCATACCACCTGATTTGGATCTCAGCTATTCAAGGAGTCCTAGGTTTGTAGGCTGTTCCACCACACCTCACTATTAGAAGCAGCAGGTCATCATTTCAGAGGCTGCTCCTTCTATTTCCCAAATGCACTTGTTTCTATCTTGTACCTGTGTGCCCTCCTCGATCAGTGTAGTACAGTGGTTCTGTATATCCCTCGATTCAGGCTATTACAAAGAGAGATAGGGATAGGCGAACATTATCCTAAAGAAACCCTGGGAGATGATTGGTTTATGCTGAAAAGACTTGTGCCCTTTTCTTGTGTTGAACCGGGAAATGTGGACCTAGGTTGTAAACAATGGACCTGAAATATCAAATTTTAATTGTGAAAATTCACAGAACAACCAATTGTGGAAAATCACATAAGATTTAATAAAACTGAAATTAAAAGAGTTCTATAAATTAAACATTTGTAGAAATGAATGAATAATGTTAACCTTTCTCTCTCTTTTTTTTAATTGTGTTAGATAGGACCTGATTCCTAAATTGGGATTTATAACACATATGGAAAGGTTAGGTTGTTATGTTGTGGTATTATGGGACTATTCATAACTGAACAAAACTCTTGATCATTATAGATTTGGATCTAGTTACATGTAAAAAGTGTGGTTAAGCTAGGTATCCCTTTAAGTGCTTGACTTGGTTTAGGGTTAACTTTTAAATGTCGGCAGTATAGCCTGTATCTCATCACAATGGAATCACTCAGCAAACATAGGCATATTTGGTGCAGAAACACAAATTGGCTTGTGTATTTGTAGAGGAAGTAATACCCCTCTAAGAATCAAAACCTCTTAATGACATACCAAATCGCCTGTGTGCAGGAGGTGTTATTCAAAGGTTGTTAGACCACTTTAAATTCAGATTCAAACAATAATTGTTTAGTTTATTTTGAAGCTCATATTTTGTCCCAGCTGAAACTTGAGGTATATGGATTTAAGCAAGTTTAAATGTCTGGAATAAAACTTCAAAGAAACTTTTAAACATCAGTTATGCGGCTGACTTGAAATGATTCAAGATGATATTGTTATTCGCTGTTGCTCAGTTCAGCTTAATTTTTTATTAAGAGCATGCTTTTATGTTAAATTTGTGTAGTCCTTAGGAGACAGACAGACAATATACAGCATCCCTTTTATGGCTGCTGTCTTGTAATGTAAGCAATTAACCACCACAATGATACGTTGCATGTTCATCAAGCCCCATTAGGAAAGTTATTTTAAAGTTTACAGGAAAACAAAACAAAAAACGAATATAAAACCAAGATTTATGGCCTTCAGAAAAGCCACATTTTCTTTCTTTTCTACAGATGGTCATCACAGCAGTGACCCATGGAGCTCCTCCAGTGGGATGAATCAGCCTGGTTATGGAGGAATGTTGGGCAATTCTTCTCATATTCCACAGTCTAGCAGTTACTGCAGCCTGCATCCACATGACCGTTTGGTAAGATAACTTTCCAATGGAACAAAGAAAGACACGTGTACATGTATGGAGAGAAAAGATATATAATGGCATGGTTGTGAGCTAAACGTTCTATTGCTGCTCATTTGGGATGACCTGCACAAGTCACTCAGAGTTTTGCCATCTGAGAAGAATGTCCATACCAAGATCATGAAACTAAAATGTTTTTCTTGAATTACCGTGTGATCTCATGGCACATATTTTACAAAATAAGTATCTGAGAAATGTTAGGAAGTTTTATTTTAAATATTTCATTAATGGTGGATTATACATTCTTCTGTCTGCAAAGTTTGGTATCTTAGTTATCATATATCGAAATGTCTAAAATTGCTTCCATTTTAAGGTCTGGAGACAGATAACTTTTCCGATTAGAAAGTTGGCAGTCAGTCTTCCTATTAGATAGTATAAAATTCCTGTTTCTATATCTGAAGAATTTTAAGATATCAAAACAATAGTCCAGAACATAATACTGTCTCTTCAAGACTATATACCAACATAATTCTGGAGAGGAAGTTGGGTGGAGGATTGGGAAGAAGGTAGTAGTTTTGCGTAGGTGGTTCTTCTAAAGTCCCTGTGAAAATAAACTAGCTAGTGAAATAAGCATAGTTTTATAGACATCAAAGGAGATTTAAATACATTTATATGCATGCTTCCACCTCCCCCCCCCCAAAAAAAAATTATAAATTATTTCAAATGTAAGTAGAGAACTCTTTTTCTAATTTATATCCATGTAACCATCATGGATTCAACTGGTACACATTATTTAATTTAGATTCTGATTTCACTGATCAGATATTGAAAAAAGGAGCAAGGGTTACAAAAGAAAAAATAGATAGTTTTTATTTGAATTAGGCTCAATTTTGGAGAAGTTTGACCATCCTTAAAAGTTAGCAGAGACTTCTTTTTAGCTAGACGATGGTGGACTTTTTATTGTAATTGAATTATTCTTAGGGAGAAAACTCCATAGGTTTAAACTACAGGTTTAGGGGTTTTTTAACTAAAAAAAAATCAAGAAGTTCAGAAAACATTAAACTTCACAAGGCTAAGATATCCCTAGTTACAACCAATATGAAGTAGCAGATTGACCATGTTTATTTAATGTGTACAATGAGGACACACAAACAACACTGACCGTTCCCTATAGTGAAACAATGAGAAAAAATATGAAACAAAGTAGAATGTGTCATATTCAAAAATATGTTCATTTGGTTTGGAACCATGCACTAGTATTCATTAATTTAAATGTATGGTTCTTGCATGGTGTCATGACATGGTACAGTAAAGATTGTTTGAATGCCCCTGTTTCTTTCAAGAATAACCCTATCTTAAAATCCTTGGTTGATCAGTCTTGGTTTGGGGATAGTTACAACATGTAATGGTCTGTAAAGTAAATTATTCTCAACCATAACACCTTCCAAATGTAGTTTTCATCTAAGAATTACGATTTGGTCTGTCAGATATAGCAAGCACCCAGGTCTAGATTCACTATTGACTTTAGGAGCGGTGACATGCAGCTTTGCCGAGCATACATCTTTTCAATACCCAGAAAATCATTAAGATTGAGAGAGCATGGAATTAGGTGCTCTGGCTTCCTTATATGAGAAATGGAAGAAGAGAGGCACTTTGAAATGGGAGTCATAAAAGCCAGCAGCTTAGGTGACTCCCCAGCTAAGCTAGCCAATGGGAGGTACCAAGGAAAGGGGTTCTGTTCCAAGCCCCATCTTTCTTATGATTGTCAGTGCCTAAATCCAGGCTGAGAGGAGGTGCCTTTCTCCACTTAGGATTGTCATCTGCAAACCCTCAGTTGACCCAAATCATTTTTGCAAGAAGTAGGCAGAAAAGGAAAACAATGACTCTCAGCGCCAATGGTTAGGACACTCAGCTGGGATGTGGGAGGGAGGTCTCCAATTCAAGTTCCTTCTTTGCCTGAAGTGGGAGAAGGCATTTGAATAGAACTCTGCTGCTTCTCAGGATATCACACCATTTCTCCTGTGGAAGCCCCCCTGCCCCAGTAACTGATTAATTCACATATCTCGTGCAAGTCCTGAACCAGTAGATGAGCTCTGAACATGCTGAATAGACTGAGCCTTGCAGGTTGACTTATGCAGAGAGAGCATATTTCCCCATTGCTCTGGGGCTTAGGTGTCCAGACCTCTGGAAGGAAGCAGCAGCAGCATGTGTGCATGCTCAGAGGCAGAAACATAGATACCTACAGCAAAATGTACTTCAAATATTTTGGTGCTGGGCTAGTTTGGCTCCTACAGAGTTTGGCTGCAGGTGAGCAGAGGGTGCCTAATTCAGGGGTTTGAGCACCTAAAGTGGCAGTTAGGATCCACTTTTGTGAATCTAGTCCTCTGAGCTCCAACTGACATGAATGTGAATTGTAGGTGTTCTGCACTTCTGAACTTTAGGTTCATAGTATTTATTGTCCTGCTTCTCTTCATTAGCCAAGGGCTTCTATGCCAAAGGTAGCACAGAGGCGAGGCACTGATATTTTAATTGCTGCCCTATGTGGTTTCTACTGGGAAAATAGTGGGAGGTCAGCACCTTTAGCGTATGCAGAGACTATTGGGAAGACACTGAATAACTTCAGTTCAAGCTGATGTAAAATCTCTTAAATGTTGGTCAACTAGTGATGTTGCAGTGCCAATACAGACAGCACAAAAAGAATAGTTGCTGTTTGTTTATTATTTCTGTTTTCTCATGGATTGTACTTTTTGTTTGTTTTAATAGTTGCTTAGAATGTAGAGTGCAATTTCCTCATCAAGCTACATCCATTGTAAGGCAGATCACATGTGTATGCTAAAATATTTGGTGGTCTCCCTTTGATTTTTCGCCGTGAGAAATGATAAAATCTCATTTGCTGATCATGAAGCACCATGTTTGTGTGGGTGTCACGGAACAAAACTCGGCAGGGGTCATGGTATTACTCCGATTAGACAGTTATCCTAAACAATTGCTGTTTACTGATTTGTGAGTTATGTGACAAACTCTCTTACCCGTGTTGATTTCAGCCAGTTGTCTATGAGTTGCCTTCATAGAATGATTTGTATGCGAGTCAAAGTCAACGTCTGAAATCTTCATTCAGACTTGACCTAGACAAAACCCCTGTTAAACTCAACTGAAGTTCTGACTAGGTAAGGATTATGGATTTTGGCTGTATAACTGTATGATGTGCCTATGTCCTTGTAACTCCAAGGTGGACTCCAAGTATTTCCTACTTAAATATTAAAAGTACTGTAAAAATTATAGAATCATAGAAAGTAAGAGACAATTTTGTGGCTCAGATTCTATTTTTGGCCCTTCTGTGCTTGGTGTAGGATTGCATATAAGGATAGAGCACCAAGATATCTTTATGCTTCTTTTATATTTCCCTGATCCAGAAGTTAGACTTTTCCTTGGTTGTTTTAATTTACTCTCAGCTGTCCATGGAGCTACTGCAGCAGCTAAGGATTACTAAGGCATAGTGATACTCTCTTTTTCTTAGGGCTTAAAGATGGCAATGTTCTAGATCATCATACAGACCACCAGTAGAAACGGCCAACAATGCACTACCCATCGAATCTTGGATACTTTGCACTTCAAAGTGCAGCACCGGGGTAGAGAATTTGGCTCATTAGATCAACTAGTCTATCTCTGTGATGGTTTGTTTCCATATAATATTTATTTTAGTGCTTTCTCAGGTCTAGTTTTAAATATCACATATAAGGTGGATGCCATAACTTTCTTTGGGAGACTATTTTTCCAACTAATAGAGATTACTGTCACAATTTATTTGTCCTGGTATGTGGCATATATTTTCTTTCTTCATTTCATCCTATAATACCAGAGTTTATGACTTTTTCTTACTAGGTATCTGAATAGAAAAAAATTACTCGTTCCTTTATCCATATGACAAGATCTGCTCCTTTAGGTGAAATAATGTAACAGTTCTGAACTACTTGATCCAGAGAGCCTGTCTTTTATGTTTTATTATTTTTATACTTTCTCTTACAGAGCTACCCATCACACTCCTCAGCAGACATCAATTCCAGTCTTCCTCCGATGTCCACTTTCCACCGTAGTGGTACAAATCATTACAACGCTTCTTCCTGCACGCCACCTGCTAATGGAACAGACAGTATAATGGGTGAGTTGCAGAGAGATCTCCATAGGAATATGAATACAGCATTGATCTTTTCACTTAGCTCTCCTGTTATCTCATCTGCTGTGGTGCAGCATACAACTATTGAACCTTTAAGTTTTTTAAGGTTTTTTTTTTCTTATTTATTTCATAATATATTTATTACTATAGAAGGAAACTATATTCCAGTGTGCATCCAGAAAGATTATAAATACAACAGAAAATTGATTTAAATAAATATATTGTACCTGATCGATTGCCTTCCTTACACAAATTGTTTTATACTTTTTCTCTTGATTATTTAAGTAGTATTTCAGTCAGTAAAGTACAGAAGATATGACACAAACTAAGTGCCTGATACTCTTGGCTTTGGTGGCAATGGAAAGTCAAATTTTATTGAATTAAGCTCCCCCGTTAATTTCATACAGCTTCTTGTGAACCGATACTTCACTCAATATATTTTAGTGTTTATCCTCAATTTTTTATTTGATTTCCAATAAAGGGAGAAATCAGTGATAGCAGCATGTTTGTGAAATAAGAAGAAAGCCTTCTTTTTTGATGTTACTAATATTTTTCTAACAACCTCTGTAAATTAATAGCATCCAAATATTTGGCATATTCTGGTTCAAACTTAAATATGGAAAATAAAGAAATCTTGCCTTGCCTATATCACAAAGAACAAATAAAGCTAATTAAATAGTTGGTAACTAGGGAACACATAGTTTGACACATTTCAGATTACACATATGACTCTGTATAAAATGACTTTAAGCTCTACTAATGCAGTAAGAATGGAGGCTAAATTCAAGTATTAACACATGGGCATCATATTTTTCAAGGTCTATAAACAGAAAAAAAATTAATACCATCTCTTCTTCATTTGTCTCTGTCTCAGATAATGTATCCCTTTACACTACAGTATCGAATTTTTGTGCTCAATCTGCCCATTCAATTGAGAAGTCTTCTTTTACAATGTGTGCCTTGCTTTTTGTGAGCATGGCATGCAAAAGCCACTATCTCTCAAAGAGTCTGATAGTACCAGATGTAATGCATTGAACTTCTATACCTGGTTTTGTAAGAGCCTTAAAGATAATATAGGAGATCAGAACATTGGGGAATGGGATATGAACGTATTTTATTCTGATTCTAGTCTTCAGGCCCTGACAAGACTGATTCTCAATTAGCCATTGTTTAAGGAGGTCCAAATATTTTAAATTTTTAACTATAATTTTTATTGCAAACTCAATTTTTGACTATAGCCCTAAATATTTGTAACAAAAATGTTCAGGTTTTTTAACCAGTTGTAACTTACTATCTAGCTAGTTCCCTTGAACTTCCTAGCAAAACCAGGTCCTGTGTTTAATGTCCAGCAAGTACTATCCCTAAAACATATTCATGTGTGCAAACATATTCAATTTACAAACAACAAATAGTTCTATCTATAAGAGACACCTTGGTAATAAAAATTAGTTGTAGAGGTAATTCAGCTGTGTTCAGAAGACCTGTGATCTTTTTGAACAGCAAATTTCTAAAATAAATTTTCTGATTAGAATATATGCCAGCATTGACTAGAAATGATGTTTAATCCTCTGCACAGTATTGTGTTTTTCAAAGGTCCAAAGCTATGCACTTTCTAAATAATTCGTTATCGAGATAGATTAAATACAGTATATGCTAAAACTTACTTCCAAATATCTGTCTGACTCATGTCTTAATCTCTCTTGCTACTTTGACTTCTGATGACACATTTCTGTTACATGGTGCATTGCACGATAGAGCTTTCCTTGTATAAATTTTGTTTGTTTCCCCTTGAGATCTTCGTTTCACAGTAATTTTACTATTAGAGCAGTCACATAATACTGCACTTTATATTTTTGTATGATTGTAAAGCTTCCAGACATAGTGATGTGATGAACAGTCACATAGCGCAAGAGGAATATGAATATTATCCAACAATATCAATGTAGTATTTAATGGTATTTATAGTTGATGGAATTCCCAAACTAAGTTGATCTAAGTTTTCCTTTGGCTCAAAATTAAGTGCTGTCCAATCAAAAAGGATATGATTTTATATGTTTGGATTCTAATGTAAGATGTCTGGATTCTTTAATGAAATGGTTTATTATAGATGTGCATCCTGTGTCCTGGTCTCAGATACAGTCACTCAGTATTCTAGATCTACTTATAGCTATTGAGATTACAGATGCCTGGGAATTTATTCAAAAAATCCAAGATTTTCAATTTGTATCACAGACATTAGAAATGGAAAAGAACTCCTCCATCATCTTGTACATCCTCCTGTGAGAGCAGGATTGTTCCTACAGGAGCTTTCTGAGGGGTTTCTAAAAAGATAAGTATAACGTTTTTTTCTGCAGAATAGTTAGGAACCCTCACTGAAAATCCATCCATCAACTACTGGGGTAGAAAAAGCCTTTGTTATATTAACAGAGAACTTTTAAGTAGAAGTATGGCTCTAAATTACAATAATAACATTTGCTACTCATTTTCAAATCCAGCTAAGCTTCTGAGCAGGCATTTGCCTCCTTTTCTTTCCTAAACATGGTCACAGTGTCAAAGCAGCTCTAACTCTGTCAAACAGAGTCTCAGAAGCCATAGATGAAGATAGAATTTCCATCAATCTCTTCAGTCTAGCCAATCTCCCAGACTGCAGTAGCACCAGCTCCCCACCAATCTAGGCAATGGCCCTTATTGCTGTGGCAGGACGAAGTAACACCACTGAAGTTGTGTTGTCATATGGCAACCTATTAGCAACTCATATGCCATGTTAGAGCTTCATTCTGAGACTATTCAGATCAGTCAAATTTGAGGAAAATAATAATTGGTTCCATTTTTTTTCCATTGTGATAACTGAATCTAAATCATTATTCAGATTGAGAGCTGTTTGAAATATTTGTTGTCTGGGCTCCGCTGCCTGAAATAATCAAACAAACCATCCTCCCTTCTGTTTCAGTCCATCTCCCCAGTTTCAGATATCCAGAATTCCTGTCTCTTCCCAACTCCCCAGTTTCAGATATCCAGAATTCCTTCATACTCCAGGTCAACTAATAATTACAAACACCAAGCAACACTCAGCTCCAATGCTTGTTTTCCAAAATGTCTGGAGAAACACATTCATAGGGAATTTTTGTTGTATTCTCTCCCCCCTCCTCCTCCCCCATGTCCTAGGCCTGAAAGTATAGTCCTAATGCATCTTCTTATTTTTCATATATCATTCTTCTAGGTAGGGTATCACGTAAAATATCAGTGATTCTTTCCAGAAGTTGGTGTCACATTCCAATTGTTTAAGCATCCCAATTTCATTGCATACCAAAACTATCAAATAAGCCTACTTCTTGTATATTTCAATGTGTAATTAATTATATGCAATATATTACATTTCTAATAATTATTTTATATGTTAATGAATGAAAGATGAATGAGTCATATTTTAACAAATTTTAAAAGGTGTGAGCTAATTAAAGAAAGAACAATATGGAGATTGCCTTATTTGGCATACCAGAAATTAGCTGTTCCCTTCCATTTGGTGACTGTCCTACATCTAGGGATGAACTTGGTTCTCTTGCCTCTGAAGTCCACAAGAATCAGGGTGCTAAGCAGATCCCCAGCTGCTGTAATGTGGTGCATTTTGGGAAGAAACCACAGCATAGTCTTATACTAAGCATCTTATTAGGACCTTATGTACTCCTAAACCAGTTCACCATATCTGTTTTCACTTATTCCCTGAAAGGTTGAGTTTTTCTTGTCACCCACAATTTTCAGTCAGCACTTACATCATCATAATAGCTAAACAAAAGATTTGTTTGCATTTACACAAAATACTAATTCACCTGAGAAACAGAAAGAAACATATAGCCACCCAATTTCTATATAGTAGGTACAGACCAGGCCTGAAACTAACACTTAGATCAATTTATTTACATTTGGAAGTTCTTCCATCAACCTAGGTACCACCTTTCAAAGGGGTGGATTTACTACAGACATGGGAGGAAAAAAATCTTCATCACTGTAGCAAGTATCTTTACAACAGCGCTATTGCAGTGGGTAGCTGCCATTCTACAGCTGTCCTACTGTAGTGCTTGTATAACTCAGACACCTTCTAGGTGTGGTGTAATGTACCATCTAGTGGCACTGAGACCACTTACAAAGAAAATAATGTCTGCTCTGTGGCCTTAGCTAATTAACAACTGGCTTTTAGCTCACTCAGTAGGCTCATTCACTAAACTCCAGAGAGCCCAGGTTCTGGTCTGCCTTTTGGCATTACACTTGTGGTGTACACATACCTCATTTACTCTCAGATTATTAAAACTTCTTTTTCAGGAACAGATTCGAGTTCAAACTCTGGATGTGTCCTGTTTCATTTCTAGGGCATAGTTAGCTGTCAGTTCTGTTAGCTTGACCATTTTTTCTACTATCTCTGATAGCTGTTAGCCTTCCAAGTTTTTGCATGCAGGATTTACTTTGCGGTATATAGCAGGAATTCCTTTGTTCTTAGCAGTAAGTAGTGTATCACTGGGAACTTTGGCAGAATTTTGTATCTTTATATGCAACCTTAATCCTAATTACTGGGTTAAATTTTCCTAAAGAATCTGAATAGTACACTATGACTCTGAGCTCTCCTTATGTACAAGTATCTCTTTGCTGTTAACAAATAGGATTTCCACGCACACAGACAAGGAAGTATTGCAGTTCATCTTCACTATGAAGATCTGAAAGAAGAGTTTGCTCATTGTCTTTTTCTGAATTGGAGAATCATATTCTTTACATAAATTCAGATAGAAATCACAGAGTATTTAGATTTTTATTTGGTTTATAGTTCACTTTGGGAAATACGTGTCCCAATTTCTAGATGTTCTGAAATGATTCAAGCTGAAAACTTTAGGTTAGAATTAACAGCATGCACATTATACTACTAAAACATTTATCTCTAATTGACACCAGATCTTCTATTTCTTTGCCTTTGCATCTTTTGCTATTACATGTGAGTA